TGAGACCGATCACATGTCTCGGTTTACAGGTACGATTGTGGGAAGGTTAAAATATGCCCAGAGCCAGAACATTCGCCACTGAGGTAGAACGCAAGAACCGTTGATCGTTTCTACACGTTGATTACCAAAACACTCCAACTAATAGTACAAAGAACAGCGAAAGGAGAATGAAATAATAAGTTGAACAATAGATATTAGACATGCGTGCTCAGACTTTACGCTAAACATCAAACTTCAGACGATGTATAAGGGGATTATCCATCAATGGCTATCCCGACAAATGTACAAATAACACAAAATAAATAGCGCTAAACCCATCAGCGTTCGTTACGGTAGTTTTATTCAAGTCTTTCGTAAGAAGGTGGCGTCCATAAAGGGGAGCGTTTTGTGCGCTGCAAGAAAGGCCTTGTTTGAGGTCGTGACGCTCAGATCTTTTGTCTCAAATACATTTGGGTCCGTTTATGATTCTGGGTTAATGTTTTTAACAGTATGACACAAAGCATTCTATTCTCAATCTCTCAATCATTTGGTTAACCTGAAATTAAAAAAGTACCGAAAACACTTTCGGTTCCCTCACATGTTTTAAGGTGAACAGCATGTTTAATATAGAATTTCATCGATGAATGTAACATAAATCACGACTTATCGGGACCATCATGGGAATTGTTCTGGCTTGTAGGATCATCCGATAACCGCGCGCCTGCTTTCTTAGTTATAAGAGGTCTCAAAGAATACTTTTATCTAGTTACTCAAGGCAAAAGAAACACCGTCATTGTTGAAATGATGTTGAAATAATGTCTAGTTGCCCCCAACTTTTTTCATCTGAATTAGTCTTGATGTTGTCAAGCTTGTCTGCAGGATATCAAACGTAATGCGTTAGTGCTCAACAGTGGAATAAGCTTTCAGTTTATCACATATCTGAGTGAAGGGTTGAAACGGCCACCATATATTGCGGTATGTGCTGAAGTGAATGACATGAAATGTTCACTGGAGTGCGCCAACGTTATCGCCTCTGGAGGCTTAAAATCGTGTAAAAATTTTTATGGTATCTTTAATGTGGTGTTTGCTAATTTTCTTAAAATTCAGCCATTTGCAGATAGCCACTTATCATACATCATCCGTAACAAATGTTCCTGCATTGATCTTTTTCCCAGTGAAACATTTTCGGATTTCAGATGGTACTTTACCCAAACCTTAACACAAAGTGACACTAATTATCTTTGACCTGTGAGCGTCAAAGTGACTCCATTCAGTACAGCACTTAAGTTTGGGATCGATGATCTCTACACAGAAAATTGCACTTACATTCGAAATGTAAGTGGACTACGTGACCAGTCCTCAGAAGTAAATTGCACCAATATCTCGACCCGTTTGTTTCCGAGGCAGACAGAAAATAACCAAAATTCATGAACCTTATTGTTCCACAGATTGCTTGACGTAATCCTCTTATTGGGGGATCAGATCATATAAAATTCGAATGATGTTAAAATCCCTGATTCTTTGGTTCCCTACCAGCTATCACATGATAATCGCCACTCACGTGATCACCTTTTAAGCTGTCTTAACTTCCTATCAATTGGCTGCCAAAACATTTCTGGATTAGTTTCTTGCAACTCACAAAATCCGAAACCAAGCTTCTCAAAGTCAGAAAGAGATAAGTCTGACAGTGTTGAATACAATCCAAATTTATGGTATACTACTTTGTAGATACAAAGTAAAATAACAAAGCTGTTCGAGGATTACCACACAACTATCTAACCCGTTCTATATCGATATCATAAAGAATTTATAACCCGAACGAAAACCCATTAATTTGCAGAACTTTATGTCTAAAAAGTATTTGAACAAAATATCAGATGCATATGCGTAAAATCGTGTCTATCAGCTACAAGTATGGCAAAGTTTAATAGGTGCATTACATCCGCACTCAAAACGACTTGCATGTCCTGGAGACTGACATCTTTTGGTAGTTCTATCATCCAGCGGATACCTGAGCAGAATCCGTGTTACATACCGATTTTAAATGAATATTTATATTTTCTCCCGCCGTCTGAGCAGCGACGACAAAAGTTTGACTTTCAAGACCTCCCGAAAGCCAAAACTGCGTCATGAAGGAAAACCTTGCTGTTTTCCACCAAATCACAGTTGATGTACCAGTTATTATGGGGATGGGGAGCAACTCAATCCATATTGAAGTAGGTCACCATGGATCGAGTCATGTACTAAACGAGCATAGTATATTTGACCACTATATCCCAAATACGTGAATCACTCACTACCACCAGCACAAGCGCAAGCACAGTCACGCTGAACCACAGTAACCCGTGATCAGTCGTCAATCTCATCCGAGAAGAGGATTGATCGATTGATGACAAATCAGAACCTGCACCCACTTGACGGGAATTGGAATTCGAGTAAGGTTGTGTCCATTTGACGAGTTGGGAAATATCAGTAGCCCCAATGACGTTATGAAATAGAGTTGACTATGCCACCAGTTCATGCGAGTCACAGTATACGCAGAACCCCGGTTTGTCGGTGGATATACAAACCGAACAGTCAGCTACACTCACACTGTCATACGAGTGCTTAAGCGTCGGAGAATAAGCCCTTTTTCATTTGGGTGGAACTGTGCATGTCCCTACACTTAATATGGTACAACGGGAATGTCGTATGATGCACATGGGCATAAATCAAGCAGCTCAGCATTGTTTTCCTCGCAGATCAATTTTTTCTCGGCAATTAAATGTTACAGGTTTCGATGTATCCAAAATTGTTGCCNCCTTCTTCCACAGTAAACGTATAAATAAGGGTTATTTGGATACATCGAACACGTTACAGGAACAAGTGGGTGCGAGATCGTTCCCCTAATTATTGTCTTTTTGTTTCTCACTGACTAAACACTCACCACATTTTGATGGCGACATAGGGGACAGGGAATTGCGCGATGAACCGGTAAACCGCTCACGGGATCTCCGTTCGTGCCCAAGCTTCCCGATTCGGTGCCCGGGACTTGATGCACCGGATATCACACGGTCGCCATCATCTGATCTCTCACTCCCAGGTACATCCAACGAGAAGCTTTTCGTGGAGAGAAGAGCAACTTTATCAAGGGAGAGAAAAACAAGTGATTGAATTGACCTCAAATTTGAACATCATGTCTACACACGTAGAACAGTTTCAGGTGCAGAAAGGTTTGAGAGAAAAAAGTATATAGATGGTAGATAGACTTATTGAATCATTGACTGGTGAAAGATTTGACGACAACACTATCGAATTTGAACAGGTAAGCAAAAAAAGACAATCACTACTAGAGAAATTCCTTTCGTATACTCTATCAGTTGTATACGTATAATATTGAATAAGATAGGCACATGAAGTGAATTAAGAAATCTAGTTAGGCATAATCGTGTGTGTGTGCGGGTGTTACTATACGTGTGTGTGTAAGTGTGTGTGTGCGATGTACAGGACTGTTTAGTCAGGGATGCCCAAGGTTAGTGGTCATGCGCTTTTGGTCACAACGTTGGTTTATTGTGAGCGATCGATAATGTCTCGAGTATCCGCAGTCGGCGTCCGTCGCAACGACGTAACAAAACCGAGAACGCGTTCGCAGGTCTACCTCGTGACTACTCTCAACCAAATGGCGTGCGACACGACCGAAGTCGGTTTTCGTGATGCAGTCAGAATCTGGGTTGTAGGTTGAGTCACTGATTCACGCACGTACCTGAGGATGTGTTCGGCCATTCGAGATGGCAGTGCTCGATCGGTTCTACCAAAGTATGCTTCGTTACAGCTGCAACAGAAGGCATAAATGCGATTTGAGGTAGACTCGACTGAGTGACGACTTTTTAATGGGGGGAGGGGAGACGTTGTGTGATCGGACGGAGTGATGATACTGTCCGGACCGAGTCTTCTTGCGGAAGATAGATCGTTCACTAGAACCGTCTCTTTTGGGGGTTATTGGGACACCGTGGAAAGATGGCGAATTTTTCTCCTCTAATTCGTACGTGAAGTTCAAGTTGCGGTGGGCTGCGTTGAATTCGTCCAAAAGTACAACCATATCGTCAGGCTCATTGATGATGATGAAAACATCATCCAAGTATCTTTTACATAAAAAAGTTCGCTTGATAGTCTCAACCAACTATGCTTCAATCATGCCCATACCAGGAAAGAACCAAGAGGGTTACCCATCGCAACATCTTCTATCTGTTGAAGTGCTGTTCCTTGACGCTGGAAACGCACGTTTTCAATCCCCATAACATAAGAGGTTTCAAACCAGCGTGGCAAATTCACAGATGCAGTCTACGGTTTCTTGTAGACGACTTTTGTGAATAATGGTGTGCCATAAAGGGAACGAATTGTTTTACCAGACAGATTCCAACTGGACAAAATATCATAAAATTGAAAAGATTTGTGCAGTGTGTGATTACCAAAGCGTTTGTTTACTAAATGAAAGGCTTCTACGAATCAGTGGGCTAATTTGTGATAAGGCGAGGCATTCACAGATAATATGGACCGTAATGGGTCAGCTGGCATTTGGGACTTTGCTAACCCGTAAAGAATCGGTGTATGTTAACCTATCGGTTTTCGTTTTTTATCAGTTTTGCCTTAGTGATGAAATCAAGTACCAGGAGAATTTGTAACTCACTTAATAATTTCAACTTTCGTGAATGTGGGATTATTCTATATCTGTGCAAAGTGGTTCATAATCTTACCTCTACCGGTGGGTCTTGATCCAACAGTATCATTCGGAATTCGGTCAGTCATCTCCGAACGATGATGTCTTCGAATATCCACTGCCGGTGGATCAATTTGGAACTGCGGAGAGCGACGAATGGAATGCTCACCGGGGTCTTCCCATCTTTTTCGATCATCAATTTCGTTTTTGTCGTCCACTGATAAACTTTTCATGCGTTCACAAAGTGGAGGCCGAAGTCGATTGGGATTGTAGGCTAAACGGCACGCAGAGGGTTCAGACAATTCACCGTTTTGTCCCAATCATGCTTTCAGTGAACACAGTCTTTTATCTCATGGGCATATACAACTAATGTGTGATTAATTCTATGCAGTAGTACGAGCAGTTAATCAAAAGTTTGGAAACAGAAATGTAAAGTTGCAATTGATCTACACAGATTGAACAGTGATGATTTGTAGAACATGCGACTGTCGAATATGTGTTAAAATTTTCCGGATGAATCTCGTTGTGTACAGAACAGAGGATGTGTGAACTGAAGAGCTAATAGCTACTCCAATTTTCCTCATCGTTTGGGGGTCTCATCAGCACAACGGGTTCATTCATCAAACTAATAGTAGTAACCAAGACAGGGAAGGGATGATGCAGGCCCACAATTGACCTAAACACCAGGCAGTTCATCAGGCATATCATAGACCGTTACTTTGCACGTGTGTGGTCTCCAAGTTTATCCAAAATACCAAAAACGGTCTTCAATCGGTTAAAAGCTCTCATTCATAGGGATCAATCAGTTCAAGAACAACCACTTGCATGACAACACGATTCACTCGTTGGGTGATTTTCGTGAAACCACTGCACGTAATAGTTGGAGAGAGAGAAACGGGCTGCAGTGTCATACCCGATGACGACTACATGACAAGGAGCACTGAAGACTTTTGATCGCATTCTCTTCAAGTCGTAGAAGCATGCTTGTGACAGAGAACAATGGGCAGCTGCTTTATCCTATTCGGGCCTAGTCCATAGTGCATACTTTTGGTGTCCCCGTCAGCACTCAAACCGTGAACATTTGGGTCGGGACTTCAAAACCCTTAATCCTGAGCTACACGGCGACACAGAGCATGGTGCCTGTGAAAATTGAATGGGCTAATCCAAAGATTGACCATCTAAATTATAGAAGTGTATTCGAATTGGAACTTTGATCAATAGTTTTTCACCTATTGGTTGCTTCGATCGTTTCGTGCGCAACGTGCCCATTAGAATAATCATTCTGGCATCCAGTCTTAACAGTTTCAATCAATATTAGGACAGCGTTTGTCGTCCATGAAATCCACAATAATATATTAAACATTGTGATCGTTCTTGAAAGCTAAATGAGATCTTAAACATTACTAAATCAAAAAGCCTTCTTAAATTTCCGATTAAACTATATTATTCAATTACACGGTGTTTTTAATTTTGAAAATATCAGCTAAACACTTGTTCTGAATAAATAGAAACTATTCTGCTCACCGAGTTAATTTTTTTGTAAGTTAGAAGCCAGATCTTGGGAGTTTGATCACTGGTATTTATCAAACAAAAATTAAGGTTGGAAATCATCCTGAATTTCACAAACAATTTTCCTCAAAACGGCATGTTCAATTTCCTGCAAAATCGACCGTTTATAGCACCCTTGGGAGACGCTGGACATATACATATTCCATACTACCATGAGGAAGACAGACCACGTGCTCAAAATTCGGTAGCTGAGTCTAGCCGGCTGGGGCACGTCTATTGTGTGGTGCTCGAGTCATGAATGAAGACTAAGCAAGCGTTCCATAATGTCTGAAATGTGTTTCGTCCGCCCGATCAAGTTATGGGGCATTTCCTTTGACGCAGCTGGAAAAACAGTAACCATTTAAACCGATCAACACTCATTCAACCGGTCCCCAATGCCTAGGTATTAGGGCTATTTTCAGATAATAAAATAGTTATGCGTTACCATGTTGATACATCGAAATGCATTTATCAGTGGGCGCACACTAAATCCTTTAAACGATGGGAAAATTTACATAACAGTTTAATGGGAGGGAGTATTCTTTTCAAAACGGATGCATGATTCGCAATGATCACGTAGTTAAGCAATGAATTTCGATGCATACAGTGCATACCAGCCATAAACGAAAAAATTGGGAACAACAAGCTGTTTCGACCTAGTTGGTTATCATCAATAGTGTGAACTCACAGACCCAGCTTTAGACAAAACGCAGTCATACTACCAGCAAAAGCACCTGGATGCTAACCAGACTGTAGTTCATTTTGTCTCATGCTCCCAAATTTATTTTCTTGTTCATCATGCAAGTGAAAGTATTCAAGGATCGGCATGTGTGGCGAAAAATAATGCACAACGCAACACAAAGACAGCGAGCCTCTCTTGTTGATTTATAGTAAAACCTAAATCAAGGGTGAATGTGTTGCTCACGCTCCAAAAGGTAATCAGTTCCACTTGGATGCGAAACCGCTGTACTAATGAATGGCATAATCGTTCAGGTGAAGAGCTGCTATCGCTTGACAGTGCGTTGTTCTAGAGGCGGAGGTGGCCCGATGACAATGTCACCAAATGATCAGCCCGGAGGACGTGTGTTCAAATCCCACCACCCTCGCCTGACTTTCCCTATTATATGTGTGGTATGGCAACCCTTTGATTGGCCGCTATCCCCTACCTGAAAATTGTATCATTGTATATCCAATAAAAGAATGTAAAATTGAAGGAGAAAAAGAAAGTTAACGAGTACACTTAGAATAAAACGACTCAGTCAGGCAGTTGTGTTTCAGTTAGAAACAGTGTCAACCAAACTTCTTGTAACTGCCTATGCATTGAGTACAATGTGTGTCCACTTCTTTCTGATATTTGGCTTTTTCCAAACATCCCCACTGCACTTTTAGCCGTTCCGGAAAGCCATCACTTGAAAAAGGCACCGCACAAGAACAATAGCTCCTCTACAGTGTCTTCATTTAATATTTTC